AGGTTATTCAGAATGAATCTTCCCGTCTTTCTTTTCTTTTACTCTTAACACGTTGGTCATTTCATCCTCTCATATTTTTCATGTGCCAACAATTTCTTCTTCATTTAATCTTAATATTTTTTCGTTTTGAATCAAGTTCATGATTCTTTTTTTAAAAGACGTATAGAATACAAATCTGATTTAATAATCGAAAGTAATTTATTTTCTTCATTCATAATAATGTAACATGTAATAACACTTCTTTCAAATTGTTCTATTTCACCTTTCATATTTCAAATAAATGAAGGATTAGGCAGTGAACATTAATCATTCATTGGCTATTTTAAAATTCAATACTTAATCCTGTCACGAGACCTCGCTTCTCACCGAGCAATAATTTCTCATTTTGTGTGTAATTATCTCAATATCCCTGCCAGGCAATTAATTAAAAAAAAAAAAAAAAAAGAAAATAACAAACTATGAAAAATCGTGTCGAAGAGGATTCTCGCGCACGGTGAACGGAGGATACGATTCTCATTTTACCTCTCGGTCCTTTAATCCGCCGCTTACGTTTATCCTTCTGCTTTTCGTGCGTCCAGCGATGCGCGACGAACGCAACCGCGAGCGCGCTCGTACACACGCACGCGACGGCTCGCAAGGGCACACGCACGCACGCGCACGCGCACGCGCACGCCCGCGTGTCCGCGCGCGCTCGCGTCGGTGCCAGTGAAAGTCGAGACTTAGCGCGCGGCTTTGCGCAACGAGATCGCCGTTGTCTCCGTCGGATACTGGCTCGACTTTAAAGGCTCGATCGCAGAAAGGCATCGGGACATTCGGCGTGACTGGGCGTTCACGTCATACCTCGCTTCTAGGAACGCGACACAGAGGAAGCGCCGGTGGTATCTCGTAATCGATTGAAGATGAATTGGAAGTAGATATTAGAGATGACCTCCTTAGCGAACTTGACCTTTCATAAAAAAAATTTCAATCTTGTTGTTTTGAACGACATTGATACCATATTTGGTAAAAAAAAGGTCACGGTAAAATTGAATAAAAAGTTTTTAGAGAACTTTGGTTTTCAATAATTTAACGTTACGTGACGCATAAATGCGCGTTTAATTTTTTTCATGAAAGATATAATTTTGTATATATTTTGTATATATTTATATCTAAACATTAAATATTTTATCTATTAATACGTATTATTATACGTTAATAAATAAAATTGCATTTAAATTGTTTTAGAAGCCAAGAAGTAGATTCATCATGCCATTTTTGCCATCAACATGTTAATGTTTTAATTAATTTCTGACTTTAATGCTTTTAATACATTTACTTTTATTTTCCTCGTTTTTATCTTCCTCCTATATTTAAGCATAGACCTGCTGTCTCGAAGGCATGGCATAGAAAATTTATGGACTCTCAAGACATTTATAAAACGCGAACAGACATTAACCAAATGTTACCGACTTCCTCCGACTCGCTACGACAGCCATTTGTTTTTTTAATTTCGTATTGTATTCTTTACTATGCTGTTATCGATGACATTACTTTAGAAAATCATGACAAATCATTTTCTCTCCGAGATGCAGCGATGTTCTCATAAAAAAAGGGGAGGGGGGGGGGGAGAAAAAGGATAGGAAAAGAATCGCGAGAACGCCGAGATTGTAAAATGACAGATACGTCTCTCTCCGTGCTCCTCTCGTCGCTTTGTTTCTTCGAAGTCGCATAGTTGTCGTCGTCACGTGTCTGCCGTAATATACGAGTCCTTCCGTCTGTCTTTGAAAAGATTCTCGCTCTAGCGAATATCAAATATAAATCTGTCATCCTCTGTTCTCTGGGCTTCCGTTTTTGCGGTACAAAGTATCCGATGCGATGGAACGCGAAGGAACGCGCGGCACCTCTCCTTTTCATTCCGCGCGGAATCCTCGGTGATACTTTTATATAATAGTTCCACGTAAAGTATAAGTCACCCCGCTTTTGCAGCACACGACATTCCCGTGTGAGTAATCCCTGTCGACGACGGTGTTTACAAGCACACGAGAAAAGTTTTGTCATCGTTCGCCGGCAGAAATAAACCCGGACGACACGTAAACCTTCAATTATTCAAATAGCCTCGGAGAGGTGTATTTTAAGAGGAAAAGCGATGATTGAATATACGCACGCATGATTTGCTTCGGCGCAAATTGCCGAGACAACCATTCTCGGCGGTTTTTACATTCCGAGCTTTCAAACCGATTGTACTTCTTCGCAGCATTTATCATACGGGCGCGTATATATGCTCATATTTTTATCTAAAAAGTTTCAGTTGAAAAAGTCTTGGAAATTATCGCTTGCGTCTGAAAGAGATGCGTTATGCTATTTTGAAATAGTAGCATTTTGCCCGAGGCTGGGTTAGTTTCTGAGAAAGTTTCTCCATATCTACATAAATGCAGTTATAGAGAAAGTTTCTTCAAATGAAATATTCGTCGTGAATTTTTGTTAAGTTAGTTATCTTTTTAATGTTCAGTAATGTTTTCCTATCAAATGTTAATATTATAAATAAACTTTGGATAACAGCATATGTTGTTTGAATAATAAAATTACAAAACTTTTACCTGTTAACCTTTATAAAGGAATTAACTTTTATTTTACACACCTTTGTACTTTGTAAATATATTTTATAATATATAATTTTATATTTGTACAAATAAGAAGAACGGGAAGTAATTTTCTAATAAATCTGTTTAAAAATGATATTTAAATTCAATTCTATTTTTAGATAAGTATTAATAAGTATTAAAGTATTAATTAAAATTTATAATCTATTTTTTCTTACAAATTAATTTAAGAATTAAGCGTAAGACGCATAAATTTTCTGATAAAATAGCAGGTACAAAACATCTCTCTTCAAGAGAGAAACGACGCACTTTTTCTTGAACACAGATTCTCTTGGAAATCTAAAGATTTTTACCAATGATATTAATAAAATTAAAAATTAAATTTTATTTCTTTCACACATGTGAAATTTTAATTTCTTATTCTATTTTGATAATTAAATATAATTAAAATCAAATTTAATTGACGTTAATTAAGAAATAAAGTTTTGTTACCTATGTTGCGTACCATAACTATAATCTACAATTTACAACTTTGTCCCCCTTTTAGTTCTTAGTCCTTCAATATATTTAAATTATCACATTTCAATTTTTAAAATGTAAAAGCACACAATTACCGAGGCATCTTGTATACCGTTTTGCTTTATATTCCGCCAGCAAAACGACGCGATTCAGGATCGCGTTGGCGCTATCGCGTGGGACATCTCCCGACCTGACCATCATCGAAAGCCTTCGTGAATTCTTTCGCTGATGATCGTCATTATATCGCGAAGTGCGGGCACGGCATACGCGCATCTTACATGAAATCTTATATTCAAACCACGTTTTCCTGCAAAGCCGTAATCGGCACGGCGATCACGTGCCATCGTCGCCCGAAACAATGTCGATGAGCGCCACGGTGCAGTTGGACTTCGAGAAAATTAGTCGACGAGTTGTGTCAACAAATGCACGTGAGTGTACATACGTGACGTGGGCTACGCGTGTATTTGTGTGACAGGAAGCGGCCAAGGTTGGCGACACATCACCGTGTACTCCGCCGTGGAATCGATCACCGTCGAGTATCCTCGCCAGAGAAAAGTGTGCCGGATGATGTAAAAAAAAGTTATATTAAAGTTGCTTGACATTGTAACTTTGAGACTTGTAACTTTTTGCGACACTTTTTCTCCCGTCGTTTCTCGCGAACGCGCATTTTTAAGACACACAGCGCCAGCGGTGCTTTTTGCGCCGAGAATAGCGAAGAAAAAGTAAAGTTTGATCTGACCGGATTTCTTGGCTGTTTCGTCATAAATCTTCTGATATCTTTTCAATCTCACTTTATCCATCTTTAGCGAGTCATCTTCTTCTTGTTACGTTTGGGTAGAGGCATTCTCAGGTGCAATTATAGAGTGTAGCCTAATGACTCTCTCTCTCTCTC